TCACTTTAATTATCAAAATATAGAAAATTACCAAATAATAGATTTAGGTAAAACACTGTTTTCCTTCGCACGCCATATTAGCTCCTATGCGCATGCTCTAACAAAACGTAAATAAACATCGTCCAAAAGGCGATCGCAGAGATTATTGTCTACAACTTTACTACAACCCAATACACTGACTAACATTTTTTATCAGACTCGTACTTGTTTATACTTTTTCTCCATGACTTGGCATGAAAAACATGTCATTCAATAGCTAAAAGCCCAATCTTTCCAAATATAAAACAACAGCGCGCTGAAGTTCGATTATGTTTTTTTATACACACTGTATAATTTTCTATTACGCCGTAGTGACATGACATGGTTTAGCTCACGCATTCGCAGTATAAAGCCGGACTTCCAGTCCACGCACGAAGCTCCTTGCAGCTTGCTGCGAGTACGCGCACGAATGTCATTCCGTTTCCACCACACGCAAATCTCGTAGCTCATGGCATGCCCGTTTGCAGGCTAGGTAGTGGCGGGAAGAGTTCAAAGTTCAAAATGGCGCTTAGCAAAAAGCAATTATTGCTTTTGCACGTTGTAATTGCGAAGTCGACGGAAAAGACGTACCTATAGTCGTCAATTAGAATTACGCAATCGCGGACATGAGTATGAACTACCGAGAGTTCGAACAGAAAGGTTTAAAAGAGTGTTCGTTAATAGATGTCTTTTTAACTTCATATGATATTTTTTAAATTAGAAATTAACTTCTTACTGTTCTTAGGAACTTCATTAAACATAATAATAATAATGATATTTCAGCTCTATTAATGAATAATATCAATACTAATTCAGAAATTAGTATCATAATTATTGATAAGTAAGCGGTGCAAATTGTAAGCCCAAACGTTTGTTGTGAGGAGTTGTTTTTAATATTTTAATAAAGATTTATACATACATACAAATACTTAAAACGGTTTTGGGTAAGACCAATATTCCAAACGTGAGCACAATTATTAAAGTTAATTTTTTACACTAGTTAAAGAATTATGGGAGAAAGACCACGCGAAGGCTACTTCAATTATTTCAGGATGTTACTACACCAATTTGATTATTTACACAATTTGGTAAAGCCACTAATTTAGAAGTAAAAAAAACTATTAAAATTTCTATATTTTCACTTACGTGTGATTGTATTGTGACTCTATCTAACCGCCATTTTGAAAACAAATTATCATGTGACTGTAAGCCGTTTTATGGTTGGTTTATTATTGCGACCTCTCGCAGCGAGTAAAAAATAGTTCAAAATTTTGAACTATTTCCTGCGAGCGGGAATTAAAACACTCGCAGAACGTCTGCGAGTTCTCACAGGGAGGAGCTTCGTGCGTATGAGGGGTGATTACCGCCAAATTTAGACAATGCCATTTTACGATTGTGCCATGCCATTATACGATTGTGCCATGCAATTATGCGATTGTGCCATGCAATTCACTTTGCTATTTTGTAGTTTATGGATACAACTTTGCTGTTCTATTTGCCATTTTGCAATTATATTTGCCATTTTTGTGCAATTCGATATTTTCGTTTGACATTACCTTTTAAATCGCATTGTGCGAAAATGCCATTCGCCAAAATCAACGTTCGGCAGAATCGACATTCGGCATCGCAGTTTTGGTAGGTGGCAGTGTTTCCACTTTCATGGATTTTAAGAATTTTATGTTTTTTTCAATTTTCATTCTTATCTTCTATAACTTTGTATATCACAACGTTTCACAACGTATTTTATTTAAATTCCACCCTATGAGTGCTGAGGCATTCAAATTCTAACTGCACGTTATTTGAATAGTTTTGGGTGTTTTGGGGACACCTATATTGTCTGCACCGCAAAGATTTGAATTTATTGATAAAACCGTTTAAGGTTAGTGAAAGGCTAAAGCCCCCAAAACAATATCAGATTATTCAGAACAGTTTAAACGTAGAATTTAAACCCTGTTATTTTGGGCATGTACTAAAAAGCAAAACGTCGCGTACGTAACGAAACCAATAATACCAAACGATATTTGACATATTTTTGTTATGTACTGAACGTGCTTTGCTGCTTGTTGTTCACTAAATCTCATGCCATGGCCTTCCTGGAGCTCTTTATGTTTTGTTGCATAATAAGTTTTGGGTAAGGCTAGTGAATGATTTGATCGAGAAAAAGGTTATACATTTGATATATAAAGAAATATTTGATATTCGCGTATGAACGACTATATTATATAGAGACTTACGATTTTAGGACGGCAACGCGACAACAACGGCTATATACCAATGCTACTAACTCTAGACGAAGGGCCTTCGCTCGAAACGTCGAGTTTCTGCTTGTTTCTTAACTACCTTAAGAAACAAGCAGAAACTCGACGTTTCGAGCGAAGGCCCTTCGTCTAGAGTTAGTAGCATTGGTATATAGCCGTTGTTGTCGCGTTGCCGTCCTAAAATCGTAAGTCTCTATATAATATAGTCGTATATATAACCACTCAGCACAGCATTTTCACATTGGTACTACCTACACTGGTACAGACAGTTTTATTACCAATACAATAGATCATTGAAAAGAATTGAGTAATTACCATATATATGAATAATTTAGACATTGTCCTCGCTCTGTTTACAACGCTAAATCACAGCTTTTCACGTCTTGATACAACTGGCTGCATTCCAAGCCACAACAAGTGCAACTTCAAACTGGGTCAGTTTAGCAGAACTCTTCCCAACCATAAAACCCATAAAACTGTATTAAATTCATAAGATTGATAATATACGACGAACTATCTTTACTACCATTTATCCGAAGGAGTTTGTTTTGGCCGTTGCCGTCGCGTTGCAGTCCTAAAATCGTAAGGTCTCTACTCTCTAATCTTTATGTGTACCTGCAGTAATTTCGTCATGAAACACTGATGGAAGGTTATATATTGGGCTCAGTGTGCAACAAGCAGCAAAGTCTAGTTAATAATGTTGGAGTCAAGTGTCAATTGGGGCGCAATTCCTGTTCCTTTCCTCGATCAGTCACACGTACTTAGTGTGTCCTCTGTTTATTGTAGATGATGCATAATGATTGTATTGTGACGAATGATTAAATAAAATTACACGAAACAACCGAAACCATCGAAACGACCGAAACGAAACCTGCAATTGTTTGCCTCAGAAGCAGACGACGGCCTGACTACAAACAAATTCGATATAATGCAATGGTACGGAAATTATAAATCCATGCCCAGTTTATCCAGACTGTTTCCTAATCTAGATGAAACACTCACTAGATTCGACTACCTATTTAAACAAGACAACAAAAGGTAATATTTCAACTTTATTTCAAATTCATTGTCAAATGTCAAAACGACAATTACAATCATTGTCAAATTAGCATTGTCTAACAATGATTTTGAAATAAAGTCGAAATATTACATTGAATTAGCTTGGTGTCTTATTTAAATAGCTCAGGAATCTTGACTGAGTTTACAATTAGATATTAACTGATATTCGGTGTGTTCATCTTACATTTCGCGAAATTGTCTGCCGGTAAAGGATTTACAGCATGATTCACAATACATCACTATATTCACTAGTATTCAGCTCTATAGTACACCACGGAACTGGACTTTTGAAATTCAGTCTTTGCAAGCACCCCAGCGCTAAGTTGTTTTCTTCCAACTCGTAACCGGAACATATAGAGCCGATCTATCCGTAGTATAATCGCATTTTAATCGTGGGTGGTTATTGCATCTCATCTTTATCATGACATATTGAAATTTAGGCCACTTGAACTTTTATTATACTTGTCAAAATATGTGAACTAATATGCAAAGCATATTATCGCCAATGAGAAACGTGAATGTGCTGCAGCCAATCATATCGCTGGAATTGTTCACAACTGCAAGCTGTGATTAACCAATAAGAATCTATCTTCCTGAATAATTGCATGTAAAAAATCCCACGCATTGGATTCCGGACAAAATGTGGCAAAGTAAGATGTGCATCATGCATGCACCAGACTCTGGTAGTATATATAGACTGTGCGTACGATACATGGTTGTGAAAAACTGCTCTACAACAAAGATTGGTGTTATTTACGATGCCGATGGATAACTCCCATGGAAATGGAATGAGGTAAGATAATTTTTAAGTTTAATTTTCAAAAATTTAAATTAAATGGTTATTGTATGATGCGGGCTATCGTGTTAGAGGTGGGGGATGGTCGCATAATGCCATAAAACTATTCACTTAAACTAACGATAATTCTAATATCACAAAATGATTATTACAATCATAATGATGCCCCGAATCATCCATGAACGAATCATCCGTTTATTAGGGTGTTTGATTATGGTACAATTTTTTTACTATATATTGATATACAACCAGCATAACCGGATTTGGACTCAGGCAAACAATACTAACTTTTTGTAAACTGATGAATCGTGCAATGTTGTTGTGAAACTTTCCATAGTCTTTTAGACAAATTTATCAGTATTTGATTTTCAATAGGTCGTTGAAATAAATAAATAAGTAACCTACACTCAACGACAAGTAATAAGTAACCTACACTGTGTCGTTAAATTGTCACAGAGCAATAAGATGTGTACTATATATATATATATATATATGTACTATATATATAC